CTGTCTTGACCACTACGGCAGTGTAGTAGGATTTGAAATCAGGGAGTGAGATACCTCCTACCATTCTTCTATTCTTAAGGAGTGCTTTGCTTATTCAGGGCTTTTCCCCATTCCATACGAAATTGGAGATTGCCTTTTCCATCTCGTTGAAGAATGGGGTTGGTATTTGTATTGGGATTGCATTAAATGTGTAAATTGCTATTTCAATACAAGAAGCTTCTGAAAAACAATGGCAGGCTATAGTATATACTTTATAATAGTATCTAGGTTAATATTTTTTCCTAGTAACAAGATCCAGTGCTGTTTCCCCAATCCACAATTGTTATTGTTTCAAACATTATAAAAAAAGAAACGAAATATTGACAGCATCAGATTATTTTCTAAGAAGAGGACTATAAATTTTTACTTTCTTGAACCTTTTACAATGTGATGTTTCTTTTGTATGTATTTATTTACACTAGAAAAGTAGCAGTGGCTTAGTGGAAGCACACACAAAAAAGTCTGAAAAACTGGGAAGTCTGCAACATTCTTATATTTATTTTTGAAGCTCTGTTTTATTTAGTTGTGATAACTAAATAAGTTAATTGATAGTCTTATAAGTATTTCTTTAATATACTTTTTATAAGTGATTATTTAATAAAATGTCTCAATTTTATCAATAATCATAATTCTTACCACTGAGTATAAAAGTGCTTGAAAATATAAGTATGTTGAAATATTCTCAGGAGAAAGGAGCTTAAAGTACAGCAGGAAATTCAGCCTAATAGACAGTGTTTAGGTTTTTAGTGTGGAGTAGCTGTATAAGTTATATTTCAACCATAAACCATTTGGAATGAGCTTAATTTAGGAAGAATATGGTATTATTTTGGAAACTTGATATATGTTGCTTAAAATTACAGGGTTTATAAAATGCATTTATATTGTAATCAGTTTGAGAGGGGAAAAAACATATTTAATATTTTTAATCTAACCAAGTACAGGCAGAAATTTTTAATGTAGGGAATTATATAACTTAGTTCTCATATTGATTTTTAATATAGTCAAATGGTTTCTTTTTAAATGTAGTCATATGCATTAAACTGTTATATTTTCTGAGATCTAAATAAGAGAATGATCTTTCTAAGAATGTGATTATTGTTCAAAATTATCTCATGATTTCTTTTTTGCTTTTATGAGTTATTTTTTAGTAGATTAAATTTTTGGACTTTTGTGGGTGTATGCTTATAATTGTTAAAGGTGTGACTCATTGGTATTATTTTTCAAGCTGGATATGTAAGTAATACAATCTTTTTATTATATAATTATTTAAATTATAATTTTTAGAGAAAATTATGTCATTTTATTATGTGCCAACTAATAGATTCCTTTGTTTTATTTAGGTTTGTGATAGTAATGAAAAAGAAAAAGATCTAGTGCAAACAAACCAAATGCTACAGAACAAAATCACTGTGCTGACACTGGAATTAGACGCATTAAAAAATCAGTGCCAAGTAAAAGTGAAAAAATATGCTGAGGACATTGAAATAGTACAAAGAAAAAATTATGATCTTCAAAAGACACTACAACAGAGTGAGGAAACATTAGCAAACACAGTATTACAACATTGTGAACAACTTAATGTACTGACAACTGAAAATACAATGCTAAAGTCTAGATTGAAAAATGAGAAACAAAACAAGGAAAGACTGGAAACAGAAATAGAATCATACTGTTCTAGACTGACTGCTGTTACACAAGATCATTATCTATGTCAGACATCCAAAAGAGACTTAGAATTAGCTTTCCAGAGAGCAAAAGATGAGTGGTTTCATTTACAGGACAAAATGAATTTTGATTTGTCTAATCTAAAAGACAACAATGAATCTCTTTGCCAACAACTTTCTAAAATTGAGAGTAAATTCAGTAACCAAAAACTTGAACTCCAGCAGACAAAAAAGGCTCTCAGAGAAAAAACTTTGGCTTTAGAACGTGTAGAAAGAGACCTAAGCCAACCCCACCATCAGCTGACAAAAGTTGAACCAATGAATCAAAACATGCCAGGTAAAGTGAGAAAATACACTGGAAGACAGGAATGCTCCCAGGGAAAACCATGCATAGTGCACAGTGAAAGCACATTAGCTCAGCAGCAATTGGATGAAGCTTTCAACAAAGGTGACAATGAAGAAAAATTAGCAATTTATATTCAAGACCAGTTTCATGATAGTCTGAAAAAGCTTCAAGTTGAGAGTGAAAAACAAAGTCTTAGGCTTAAAGAGAGAAATAAGGAGTTAACCAATGAATGTAAGAATTTAAAAGAAAAAGTATGTCAGTATGAAAAGGAGAAAGCAGAAAGAGAGGTGAGTAATGAAAGAGAAATATTTTTTCAAACTTTGTGAAAGAAAATTAAAAATAGTTACTGATTATGACTAAAAGCTGAATGTAGTTGATGATGAAAATACATATACTATGTTTCCTATGCCAGCTTAGAAGTTTACCTTATATCCTGCAAATGAAAATTAGATCTTAGAGGTACTTTATTTTGAGTAAAAGTATTTTGTCATATGTGAAATTCTAAGCTACTAATTTACGTATTTTTCCATGTAGAGCTTGGTATTAAAAATTTAGTCATATACTCCCAAAATAATTTCAGTATTTTGATATAACCACACTTTAAGATTAATGAAGCATATAAACATTTCTTTTCTAAAATAAGTGCATTGAAACCAAGATTCAGTTACATGAGCTTGCCTTGAACCACTGGAAGGGCATACCACTGCTGGCTTAGCATCACAACTCCCTAAGAACTGACCCCCAGAGCTCAATGGCATTTAGGCATTTTTAGTTAATTCCATTTTGGTTTTATTTATGTCCATTTGAATTAAATTTGGAAATATTTTCATTCCAAATCATATATTCTTATAATTTATCAGCTCTTTTAAAAACTGTCTACTTTCTATTAGATGATAATTTGGGATTAATGTAAAAAAATTTTAACAAAATTATATTTCAAAAGAGAATTGATGCCTTTTAGCTGTGGTGCTGGAGAATATTATTGAATTATACCATGGACTGCTAAGAGGGAAAAAAAAGTTCCTCCTAGAGAGGGTGAAACCAGGTGCTCCTTGGAGGCAAGGATTTTGAAGCTATGTCTGACTTACATTGGACATGCTGCAAGGAAGAACCGGTCCTTGGAAAGGAGCATCATGCTTAAGCGGGTGGAGAGACAACTCGGGAGGGGAAAACCCTCGATGAGACAGATTGATTCAATGACTGAGGTAATGGGAGTAGGTGTATCAGAGATAATAAGATTGGCACAGGATAGAGTAAGGTTTAGGGCTGTTGTATATAGAGTAGTTATGAGTTGCAGATTACAACAAGAATATATTTGGTTTAAGACGCTCTGGTGGCCTAGTGGTGAGGATCTGTATTACCAGTCCGAAGGCATGTGATTCAAATCCACCATCTGCTCGGTGATAGAAGGATCAGCAGTCTCCTCCTATGCTTTTACTGCCTCTGAAACCTGCTGGAGGATTTGCTTATGGGTCATTTCCAACTTGACAGTACATGACAACCATATATTTGGTTTAATCTTTACAATGCTACTTATAAATTACTCTGAATGTATTAACCTATACAGTTAATTCTTGTTATTCAGAGTTTTTATTGTTGTGTGCCGTCTAGTGGGAACTGACCCTAGCTGATAGCTGACCCTCAAGGGGTCAGTAAGCAGTAAATGGCATGGGAGGAGATGCCCGTCCTCTCACAATAGGTAACTATAAAATTACAATAGAGTTTCTGCTCTTTCACAATAACCTCAGTCATTTGGGAAGGCCCATTCTTTTTGCTGCTCAGAGCATACAGCTGTCTGCCAGAGCACTAGCAGTATTGATTTTAGATTAAGTTTTAGTTGGTAGGTGAATTTACAAATATAGAATCCATGAGTGATGAGCATCAACTGTAATTGGTCAATAATTATTTCTCATTTTAAGACTAAATTATAATAATTTAGATGAAAATATATTCAGTGTTAAGGTTATTTATATTGCTGTTGTAATATGTTTTATCTTGCCATTGGATCTTTCTGTTCAGAATCATGTTGGAGGGAAGGATTTACAGTATAACAGAATAGAATACATAGGGGAGAATTTCAGGAGCTGAGGTGAGGGAATGAGGAGGAGACAAGGTTATATAGGGCTGTTAAGGCTATTGTAGTGGTTTAACTTTGAAGAAACCTTTGGAAGGAGTTAAACAAAGGATTGAATATGTGAGAATAAACTTCTAGCAAAGAAGAGGGTAACTGTTTCACAGTATAGAATTGACCACCAGCAGTAACATCCACTTAACTATTTTTGAGACTTCAGTAGGTTTGTGGTTAAGCTTTCCAAGTTTACCCAGAGGGATGGATGGTGGGACTGAATCTGTGGTCTGATAAATGCCCTACTGAGTAGGCAGGGAGGTAACACCTTCAGCATCCTTACCTGAATTCAGTGGAAAAACTTATATGAGCAAAAGAAGGCAGGTGATAGATACATATTGTGATATTTTAAAATTTTATACCTTAACATTATATTATTAAGGTAATTTATTAAGGAAGTTATTTATAAAATCAGTAACAGAAATATCTTACCAGGTGGCTCTGAGACAACTGCAGCAAGAATTGGTTGATACCTTAAAAAAGCAATCTGTGTCAGAGGCTTTATTGGAAGTTCTATCACATTACCGTAGTTCTTCAGAAGGTGAAAAACGGGCTTTAAAGAAGAAATTAGGTCAAGTCATGTTTCAAGTATGTATGAAATGTAACAAAGAAGAGATGAATAGTCCTCTATGACTAAATAATTCATGATGCAAATTTCATTAGATCATTTTCTTTTGTGTTTACATTACGATTAATTTTTTTAACCATTTCATTATCTTTAAATACACTTATTTCTTAAACTCAGGCTTTCATTCTGCCATTTATATTATAAATTTGCCTCTAATATTTAATCTTCAGACGGTTGAAACATTTCTATAATTATTTCTAGAAATTGACAGGCCTTTGAGGAGGTGAGGGAGGTTGGCCACTAAATAGCAATTTTATTGATATCTCCATTGTCATAAGAAAACAATCCAGACTAAAGCTGAGAATAATGTTTAATGAAATGTTATAGAAAGTCATCATCCTTTTTTATCCTCACTATTGTGAATGCAGAATCTATACTTATTTTGTGAATTTCAAGGTAACTTGACATATGACATCCGTTGTACTCTTCTTTAAATGTAAAATTTCAAGATTGTTTTAAATATAATTTGAAAACTTCAAATTTTCTTTCACTTTTTAAGTTCATTTTAAAAGCATTTAAGTACCATTTTTATTGTGTAGCATCATGTCAGAACCAATTCATAGCTGACCCTCCAGTGGCTTTTCAGAGGCAGTTAACTGCATGGGAGGAGATTGCCTATCTTTCTCCCATGGAGCAGATGATGGCCTCGAACTAGGTGCCTACTAGATTGCAGTGCAGCAATTGGATGGATGTATAATATATAAACACAAAATGGACTCTTGGAAAAATGATCCTTACCCTACCTTTAGATTTGTGTGGATCATGGCAAGCAGTGATTGACATTGAGAGCACTTTATTTTGCTCATGAGGAACCTATACCTGGACCAGGAAACTGTTTGAATGGAGCAAAGAAGCACTGCCTGGTTTAGAATTGTGAAGGACATGTATCAGGCTTGTATTCTGTCTCCATACCTGTTCAATCCATATGCTGAGCAAATAACCCAAGAAGCTGGACTTTATAAAGAGGAATGTGGCATCAGGATTGCAGGGAGACTCATCAATATCCTGCATTATGAATATGACACAACCTTACTTGCTGAAAGTAAAGAGGACTTGAAGTACTTGTTGCAGAAGATCAAGGAATGCAGCCTTCAGTATAGTTTACATCTCAATATCAAGAGAATAAAGATTGTTACCACTGGACCAATAGGCAGTGTCATGATAGACGGAGATGAGATTGAAACTGTCAACAACTTCATCTTGCATGAATCCATGATTAGCACCCTTAATATGAGCAGTCAGGAAATAAGGAGATGCATTGCAGTGGGAAAATCTGCAGTTAGAGACTCTTCCAAATTATTGAGGAGTAATGATGTCAGTTTGAGGACTAAGCTATGTCTGGTTCAGGGCATAGTTTTTCCAATTACTATCTATGCATCTGAGACCCGAACAATGATAAGGATGACAGAAGAAGAATTGATGTCTTTGAGCTGTGGTGTTGGAGAAGAGCACTGAGCATCTCATGGACGTCCAAGAGAACAAACAGATATGTCTTGGAGAGGGTGCAGCCAGAGTGCTCTTTGGAGGCAAGAACGATGAGGCTTTGCCTCACATACTTTGGACATATTGCTAGGAAGTGCTATTCCTTGGAGAGAGAGAGAGATGATTTTGGGAAGGGTGGAGGGTCAATAAAGGAGAGGAAGACCCTCAACCAGGTGGATTGACATGGTGGCTGGTGCAATGCGCTCTTGTGTGTTGGAAGTGTGAGGATGGCACAAGACAGGACTGGGTTCAGATATTTTGTTCATAGGGTCATTATGAGTTGTACTCAATGGCACCTAACAACAACCACCACCTTCGGATTTTCTGTAATAACTTCATTGTCAGCTTGCCTTACTATGGTGGCTTGAAGCTGTGATGCTGGGAGCTATGCCACCAATATTTCAAATACCAGCAAGGTCAACCACAGAGTCACAGATTTCACCATAGCTTCCAGACTAACATGGATTCAGAAACAGGCATGGCGATCTACTTCTGAAAGAAGAAGCCTTCAAAAACACTATGAATAAAAGAAGATTCTTGGATATAGTCTTGGAAGGCGAGCCACTCAGATAACATTCATTCTCAAAGGAGAGTCTACTGTATTGATGTTGATGGAGTAAAGCTTTCACCCAATAAAAGACCTTCATTTGCTGATATGAAAAGACTCAAAATGAGAAGAAACAGTTTGAAACATCCATTAATAAATGGAATAAGGAAGGTATGAAGTATGAATCTTGGAAAATTACAAGTTGTGAAAAGTGAAACAGACAATCAGCATCCTAGACATTTGTGAACTGACGTGAGTTAGTATTGGCTTTTTCAGTCAGACAATCATATAATCTTTTATTCCAGGAATAACAAGTAGAAGAAGAATGGTATCCCATTCATTTTCAAAGAGTATTTCAAGATCTACCTTGAAGTACCATGTTGTGAGTACAGTATGTGATATATTATCCATAAATATACAGGAAAGATCTGATTATACAATATTAATTAAATATACACACCACCATCAAAAACCAAAGATGAAGAAATTGAGAATTTCTACCAACTATTGCAATATGAAATTAATCAAACATGAAATCCAGGTGCATTAATAATAATTGGTGACTGGAATGCAAAAGTTGGAAATAGAAGGACTAGCAGTTGGAAATAAATAAGGCTGATGATCTAATTATAGAATTAGGTGCAATCAGTGGATTATTCATTACAAATTTCTTTTTCAGGGAAACAAAATCATAACCAGTGATTGTAAACATGGACCTCAGTTAATGGCTTACCCTGGATTCAAATTGTTTACATTTATGGAAAGAGATAATAGAGAAGTTCTTTATCAACAGTTACAAGGCTGACTGTGGAACAGACCATTAATTACTCTTCTGCAAATTCAAATTGATGGTAGAGGAAGACAAAAACAAATCCAAGATAATGTAAATAAGACCTTGAGCTTATCCCAACTGAACTTAAAATTATCTCAAGAATAAAAATGATATCTTAAACATTGATGACTGAAGACCAGGCATCAAGGACGTTGGTCATGAAAAAAGCAGAAGGCCATTAAAAAGGCAGAGAAAAGAAACATCAAAAGGGATGTCACAAGAGTCTCTAAAACTTGGTAAAGAAATCACAAGAGAGAAAAACTGTTGACGTAATAGAGATGAACGTAAGATTTTAAAGAACAATTTAAAAAGGCCAAAAAAAAGTATTGTAAAAAAAAATATACCTTGAGCTGGAGTTAGAAATAAAAAAATATAAGAACAATGGCATTTCTCAAGCTGAAAGAACTGAAGAAAAATAATTGAAGTCTTGAGTAGAAATACTAAAGAATACTGTGACAAAATATTGACTGATGTAGGAACCATCGAAAGAAAATGGAAGGAATACACAGAGTTACAATACCAAAAAGAATTGGTTTACACTGAACCATTTCAGGAAGTAGCATATATGATTAAGAACAATGGTACTGAAGAAAGAAGTCCAAGCTGCACTGAAGACATTGGCAATATATAAGGCTCCAGAATTTGATGGAATACAAGTTGAAGTGTTTCAACAAATAGATGCTGCCCTCTCTATGCTGAGAAATTTGGAAGACAGCTACTTGATCCACTTACTGGAAAAAAAATCCTTACTTATTCCAATTCCAAAATAATGTGCTCTATTAGAGACATTAAGTTATCAAACAATATCGTTTATACCACATTGAAATAAAATCTTGCTGAGAGTTGGGAGAGTATTGGGAACTTCCAGAAATTCATGCTGGATCCAGAAGATTTCCATGGACCAAAAGAGATAATTTCTAATGTCAAATGGATGTTGGTTGAAAACAGAGAATACCAGAAAGGTGTTTACTTGTGTTTAATAGATTAGACAAAGGTATTTGTGTGGATCATAAAAAATTAGGGATACTATTTAGAAGAATAGGAATCCCAGAACACTAAATGGTGCTTATGTAAAATCTATAATAGACCAAGAAGCAGTTGTCCATTCTTTAAAATCAGGAAAGGTGTGCTTCAACATTATGTCTTTTCTCCGTATATATTCAGTCTGTATGCTAAACAAATCATTCAAGAAGCTGGAACATATGAAGATGAATGTGGCATCAGGATCAGAGGAAGACTATTCAACAACTTGCATTATGCAGATGATGCAACTTTATTTGCAGAAAGTGAAGAAGACTTTCTAAGCCCTTAATGAAGAAGTTCCAAGACTTGACTCTTCAAGGTGATAACATTTTTTAAGAAGTTTAACATCTTATTTTGTTTAAAAACAAAACTCACCACTGGCCTATCGGCAACATCATGACAGAGAAAATATTGAAGTTGTCAACAATCTCATTTTACTTGAATCAAGACCCCAAACAGCAACAAACTGGGGAGGGGGACGTAGGGAGGAGAATGTGCAACAATGAATGAAAGGAAATTCAAGTTTTCTGTAACCTTTTGTTAAAATTATTTATTAAAAAAAACCCCACACACCCCCAAAACCCACTGTAGGGTCAGCTATAAAAGAAAACCTAACTTTTCTGTAAACTTTTGTTAAAATGACAATTAAAATAAAAAATTTTATTAAACAAACAAAAAGAAGTCGAAAGACATATTGCACTGGGCAAATCTATGAGGAAGCTCTTTAAAATGCTAAAGAAAATATTCTAATTTAGCAACCGGAGGACATTAACATAGGTCCTTTTACTGAAAATACAAAACATTATACCATTGTAATTCTGCTGCCAACCAGATGGCATGTGGTTCGAATCCACCAGATACTTTGGAGAAGAAAGATGATCAGTCTCCTTATGTTCAATTTACTGCCTCTGAAAACCTCCTGGAGGGTCAGCAGTGAGTTGATTCTGCCTCAACGGTATGTAACAACAACAATGAAAATGGATGCCTGTAACAGTGGCTTAAGCAAGGCAAAGGTATGGAGGACGGCACAGGTAGGGCTCAGTTCCTTTCTGTTTGTCCATAGGGTCACTAGAAGTTATAGACTACCCCACGGCACTTAACACCACAACCATCTTGAGAATTTTATCTCCATTGTATTTTGCTGTCCAATGTATGCCATTTATTCTACACTTTAAAAAAAATTACCTCTGTCAACAACTGAAAATTTTCTTACATATGCTTTTCTAGCTGTAACACTTTTAAAATCCAGAGACCTCTTCTCATCTTGTGCCATCTTGGTTCAAGTTAACCAGGGGTGTTTGCCATTTTAATACCCTTTAAAACTTGTGATTTTCCTATGAGGTTTATTCATTCCATTAGAAAAATGACCCTTTAAGTTTTTCTTCAGGTGAGTTCTTTTCTACCTTGACTTCCTATGATGTGTTTTAAGAGAACACCCCTAATATACTTTCAATCTTCAGAGATCAAAGGAATTTGAGATAACACCTTAAATTTTTTGAAAGTTTTACCAAAGGATTTTACAGATCCTTTTCTTGGCTTTCAACCATCTCTAGACCCTATTTTCCTGGCAGCACTCTAGATTTGATGGTAACCAGAAGATATTTCATTAATTCAGTGTGATTTGACATATAGAGAAGCAGCAAGTAAAAACAGGTATTTTAATTCCTTAGTATTGGTTCCTTTGTGTTGAATAATGTTCTTTCATTTCTCTTTCACCTCTAATGCTAGGAGCAAGAATCTCCTTTCTTCCAGATTTAATATCATTTTTGTTCATTTTTCATATCATCTTCTATTTTTTCCACTTGCTTTTAAGCTCTTTCTGCCAATTTTCTCAAGAGTCATCAAAGCGTACAACAGTTCTTTGAGACCTATTTGGTTTTCATTCCTTCCAGATCTTTAAAGGTCTGAAGATCTTAAGGTCTTCTCTAGATCCTTTCCACTTTTGCCATCCTTCTGGTCCTAAAGCAATTCCTACATGTGTCATCCTGCTTGGATCCACAGTCAGCATCCTTGGTACCAGCAGTCAGTCAAGAGATCAGCAGACATAGCATTGCAAAAGCCTACTCTTAGTAATCTTTCCAAAGTCCTTGAGAACAGTAATATCAGTTATGAACTAAGGTGCGCTGATCCAAGCTAGAGTCTTTCCAGTTACCTGCTTTATATCTGAGAGCCAGACATTGAATAAGGATGACAGAAGAAAAATGGATTCATTTGAGTTGTGAAATTGGAGAAGAGTGCTGAATATCCCAGGGGCTTCAAAAGAACAAGCTGATATGTCTTTAGAAAAGTACAGCCAAAATGCTCCTTGGAGTCAAGGATGGAAAAGCTTCATCTCACTTACTTTGGGCATATTGTTTGGAAGGGCTATTCTTTGGAAAGGGACATCATGATTGGAAAGGTCAGCAAAAGCAAGGAATACTCTCAATGAGATGGATTGATAGTATCTCAGCAATGGATTCAAATATGTCTGGATGATAAGGAGGGTGCAGAGTAGGACAGAGTTCAGATCTGTTGTTCATAGGATCGTTATGAATGGTACTCAACTAAATGGCACCTAACAATATGTTGCATCCTAATTGTAAATATTTATACCCCTTAATGTCTCAAACAACATTTCCTTTGCTCACAAAACTGAAGTGAAATCAGACTCTGTGGAGTCAGCCCGTTTCCCTATATGTGAAAATGAGGAGTAAAAGGAGACTTTCTGCTTAATGTGGCTCATGATGATTTTGAAGAGAAAAGGCTTGGAACCATCCTATGCTAGAAAAATGAGTCTTAAATAAAATGTAAGGGTTATGACAAAAATGTTGAAACTAAACATATTTTTGTGACTCCTTGTGGTTTTATTTTTCTTTTTATTTTCTGTGTAAATGAAATATTCAACTTCTGAGAATCTACTCTAGAACAGGTATCATTTTATTGCAGTGATTTTATGTCAAAAGTTTTTATTAACTTTGAATGGACAACTTTCTGATTGCTTGTTTTATTAACCAGACCGTATTATTTAATTTATGTAGATGGATGATCTCAAAGCAAATCTAAGAGAGTCATCTTCAGAATATATACATCTGGATGCAAAATACCAAGCTCTTCAGCAGGAGTTTTTATCTCTGAAAACAGTACAAAAGAAATGTCAGAAACTAGGGAAGAATAAAAAGAAATTGGAACAAGAAGTAGTCAACCTCCGAAGTCATCTAGAAGGAAATATGATAGACCACAGTCAAGTAGAACAGTATAAACAGGCGATTGAAGCAAGAGCGAGGCAGGAGATAGAAGAAAAATTAAAAGAAGTCAATTTGTTTTTACAGGTAATTTATTGCTAATGAGTTTTAATTCATTGTATTGCAAATTGTATGTTAGATATATATACTTTTTGTGTTTTCTTCCTTTTCAACAATGTGTTTTGTAGCTCTTTAAAAAGAAAACAGCGTTTTCCCCTTTAAGGACAGTATGCTTATTTCCATCATTATTATCACTAAATTAATCTTTGAGAATAATGATTCTTATTAGGAAATTACTTGATTGCTGAGAACAGTTACCACAAAACTGGCAAAAAAATTTAAGGAAGAAAAGGAAAAATCTATTTAAAAAATATACACTATACTTGTGAACTATTAAGTTATTTTTTTTTATTTTTTTTAAGTTATTTTTTAAAAAAATAATTTATTTGATTATTCTTTGGATTGTCAGATCACATAAGCAAAGCATAATACAATGTTCTTTATAATTCATATTGAAGTCAGTTGGAACTGATGATTAATATCTTCTTTTTCTTATTTTACTTTTATTTTAATTCATGAATGTTTATGAAGCAAGTTGGTTATCTAGCCAATTGTTGATAAAATTTTATTTGTTTTTTAAATTTGTTTTTAAAAATTATTTTGAACTTTTTTATCTTAAAGGAAAGAAACTTCATACTTGATCAAGTCATAGTTATTTTAAAAATGTATCATTTCAATTTATTTTAGACTCAGGCAATTTCTCAAGAATATTTAGAGAAGTTAAGAGAGACTAATAATGTTTCAGCACGAACTCAAATGGAACTCAGAATTAAGGAACTAGAAACTGAACTTTGTAAAATAAAAACTTGTCAAGAAGATTTTAATAAAGCAGAATTGAAAAAGTATAAGCAGCTTTATCAAGATGAATTAAAAGTTCGGAAAGCAGTGTCAAGTAAACTAAACAGGTAAGTAAAAACAAAAATCGTAAACAATAAATTTAACTCAAATGCTGCTAGAGTGGACTTGGGGGGAGGGATTGTATAACCATGAAAGAATTTTTTCTTTTATTTTTTAAAGAGAAGATCAACCTGGGGGGGGGAGGGGGGGGCAGGGAGAAAAATACAACAATGAATAAATGGAAATCCAAAGTCTCTATAAACTTTGATTAAAATTAATTTTTAAAAAACCTTATTAAAAAAAACTCAAATTCCACTACAGCATAATCTTTAGTTATTCCAGTTAATTAGGTTATTGAGAAATGAAAGTTGATCAGACAATGTAATTTTGGAAAACATTGTTAATAAATGAACTTATCTTTAAAATGTTAGTCTAAGGACAATTTATATCTCTTCCCATTTTGATTTTGAAATGGCTTTATTCATAGGCTTGGGTTGGTCTTTTCTATTATTATTCTTATATAGGTAAACCTTATCTGCTAACTAAAACTTGAGTATTTTTTTAAAAAATAATTGTGTTTCACTCATGCACATTGTGTGTTTTTATTTTTACTTCCTCCCTCCCTCCACCCACCAAATTCTTCAAATCTGTGCTTTCCCCCCTCCAAGCCATAGCCCCCTGCCCCTCTCCCTTACATCTTTGTATATCTATAAACATTTCGCTGATTATCCTTCTGTTTTTACAATAATGATTTTATATAGTCTTTATTCTTTTGAACCTGACTTAGTCCCTCAACATAATGCTGTCTAGCCTCTCCCATGTTATATAGAATTTATCAAAATTACTGCTCCTGAGTACTGCATTGTATTCCATTGTGTGAACGTACCACAGTTTCTCAGTCTAGTCATTTGTTGATGGACATTTTGGCTGTTTCCATGTTCTTACTATTGTGACTAATGAGCATTTTTAAGATTTCTAAATTAGACAAGTTTTGCATTATTATAAAATTTCTTGTCAGCATCTCCCTAAGTAGAAAATAAATCAATAACTAGGTGGGACTACCTTTTGAAAATGAACTTGCTAACTGAAATGTTGGTGCTTTGAACCTACCCTGCGGTTCCATAGAAGAAATTCCTAGAAATCTGCTTCCATAAAGTTTACAACCAAGAAAAGCCAATGAGAGACCTGTACACTTTGAGATGGTGTCTTTGTGAATCAGAATCTACTCAGCAGATCTTAACAACCACCAAACCAAAACTAACTCATTGCTGTCAAGCAAGCTTGTCTAATATAGAACTGCCTACTAAGATATATAAGGTTGTATTCTTTACAGAAGGAGCTGTATCAGGCTGGTAGCTGAAAAGCATACAGTTTGAATCTACCAGTCATTCCGTGGCTCCTCCGCTAAAGGTTCTCAGCCATAGAAAGCTGATCGGGGGTCACTATGGGTCTGAACTGACTGGATGGCAGTACCCTTGGTCTTGGCAGAAATACTGCCACATCTTTTTGCCATAGAGCAGCTGATGGATTTGAACAGGGCAGTCTTTACTTTAACAGCTGAGCCTTAGTCATTGTCTCATCGCAGCTCCAACCTAACCACCCCCATATAAATACAAAAGTTGTTGTTGTTGTTAAGTGCCTTTGAGTCGTAGAGGACTCATAGCGACCCTATGAATGAAAGACCTGAACACTCGTATAACTTTCATCATTTCTCCAAGTTCATGGGGTTTTCAGACGCAAGCTATTTCGGAAGTGGATGCCATTCCTGCTTCCAAGTTTATTTTAATCAGGGAACTCCACCAAACACTGCCCACCATGGGTAACCATTATCACATTTGACACAGTGCTAAACCCCGGGCACATTCTAGCGCTTTGAAAATGACCCTTTGTATGAATCTTTGCTGTTATCACCTGAGGATTCTTTGAGACAAATGATCCCTTTCATATTTTCTCACAATGTTGTTGATTACTGTTGAGTTAGAACCAACTCATAGCTGACCCACCAGTGGGTTTTCAGAGGCAGTTAATTGCACGGGAGCTGATTGCCCATCCTTCTCCTGTGGAGCAGCTGGCGGATTTGAACCACGGGCATTTGAGATAGCAGCCCAGGTTCTTAACCACTAGACCACCAGACCAAAAAAAAAAAAAATCCTTTTAATATCTTCCCATACTACATTATATACAAGGGGAGCTCTGTTGTCCTTGTGGTAAAAAGAGTCTTTATAATCCCAAAGGCACGCGGTTTGAATCCACCAGCTGTTCTCCAGAATAGGGGCAAGTTCTTCTCATGCTATTAAAATGCTTCTGAAAACCTTCTGGAGGGTCAGCTATGGGTCGAGTCCTATTAAGTGGCACACAACAACATTATATAAAGGCATACAGGCAAAAGATGTGAAGAGAGGCATAATTCTCAAATTGGGTAAAATAATATCTTGATGTGTCTAAAGGAGTGTGTGGAAAACAGAACATCCAAGTCCCACCTCCAGTGCCTTGGTAAAAATATTTTAAGTGTCTTTGGAGCTATGGTAGTTCTTTTTGATCAGAGATTCCACTTTCTATTTACCTCAAGAAGTTGCTGTTTTGAAATATTTCTGTGTGTCACATACTGTTTTCCGCTAACTCAATGGAGAAATGTGCAAAGCTGATGTAAGCAGATCACCTCTTGAAAATGTATATTGAGAGGGTTTGGGGAAATGATGAAAGTTACACAAGTGTTCTGGTCTTTCGTTCATAGGGTCGTTATGAGTCGCCTATGACTCAACAGCACTCAACAGCAGCAACAACAATAATTCCATTACTAAATACAAATATTTCTAATTGCCTCTTAATAAATCTTGTAAAGAGCCATTCAGAAGGTGACAGTGTTATATTTTAAACAGTTCACAATACTACTAAGTCTTTTTCTCTAATTCCTAACTTTGTTTTATTTATATGTTAAATAAAAATCCTCGTGAAAGATAAACAATTTTAAAGCCATAATTGTATACATGAACTATAATTTGCCATTTCTTCAGTATGAGAACACTATCTAATGGGAAATTCCATGTACTTTTATGGGAACATCTTTATAAGTTGCCTGACATTTAAGGGGCAATAAAATACTGATATGGATTTCTTTTGTAATTTTTTTAGCACTAATGAGAAGCTAGCAGAGATAAATACAAAACTTCTAATAGAGAAACAACAGAAGAGATCGTTACTGAGCACTATTTCCACCAGACCAGTCCTGGAATCACCTTATACTGAAAATTCTAGTAATAGTTTACAATTTAGTAGCAGTCTGACTCCCAAAGAACATGTATGGATTACTCCCAAAGAATATGTTTCGATCCCTACCTTTTTAAAATTTCAGCCTTCAAGTAACAGCATGGACTCCTACTTGACTGAGGTTTGATACATTATTTTTGTTTCCCTTGGGTTTCACGTTTCTAATCTTTTTTCAGTTTGGTGACATATGAGCTGTTCGGTTGACTTGTGCATGTTGAGTAAAGGATATAATTTTCTGTCTGTCCCTAAAAGAGACAGAAATTTTGCAATTTTTTTCTCTAAATTTTTGTATTTCTTCAACAAGTATAAATATTCTTTCTCCAGTCTCTGACTCAATTATACTGATGATTGAAGCAAGTTTATGAAGTCTATAATATTTTATCATTATATTTATAATATATTAATATTTTATCATTATATTGCTCATTATTACATAAATTTAACCTTGCTGCCTGATACCACTATAGTGCCTGTAGACAACCGGTTACATATAGCAGACTACTATTTAGGTATATTGCTAATTTTTAATTACAGATTACATGTTTGATTATGGAATGTCACCTTCTATATATCAGGAGTAAGTCTACACTATTATTGATTCTTAATTGAATGATATAGAATAAAAATAGAAAAGTTAGAATTAACTTGTACAGAAAGATCGTTAGTAGATTATATAGTATATAGAATTACCTTATCAGAAGAATTCTTTGCTAAGAATTTGAACTTAAATATTTTTAAAACTATTTTATAAAATATAAATGGAATGCACAGGAATCAGATCTATTACATCTGTAGAAGAAATCATTGGTGAAGTCCAGTATCAGCAGTGAAAACTAGGCCAGTGCTGGTTGTGGAACAGACCATTAACTACTCATATGCAAGTTCAAATCAAACCTACAGGAATCAAAATTTGACCTTAAACCTGCCCCACCAAAATTTAAAAACCAACTTAGGAACCGGTTTGAGGCCTTGAACATTAATGAATGAAGATCAGATGATCTGTGGGAGAATATCAAGAGCATCATCCACGAAGAATATAAAAGGTCATTACAAAGGCAGAAGGAGAAGACCAACATGGTTGTCAGAAGAGACACTGAAGATTGCACTAGAGTACTAAGAAGCCAAAGCAAAAAGAAGAAATAAAAAAAGTTCAGGAGCCGAATAGAAGATTGCAAAGGGCAGCTCGGGAAGACAATGCAAAGTATAATAAAATGTGCAAAGAAGTGAAGCTCGAAAATCAAAATGAACAAACTTGCTAGGCATTTCTTAAGCTGAAAGATCTAAGAACAAATTCAAACCTCAAGGGGCAATACTTAAGGATGCTCTGGGCAGAATATTGAATGATTCAGGAAGGATTAAAAAAAGATGGAAGGAGTATACAGAGTCATTGTACCAAAAAGAATTGGCTGACACAGAAGAATTTCAAGGAAAAAAACATATGCTCAAGAGGCAATGGTGACGAAGGAGGAAGTGCAGGCTGCTCTGAAAGACTTGGCCAAAAATAAAGCCCCAGGGATTGATGGAATACCAGTTGACATATTTCATCAAATAGATGCTGCCCTGGACATGCTCACCAGGTTGTGCCAGGAAATCTGGAGGGTAGCTACCTGGCCAACTGACTGGAAAAGGTCCATATTTATTCCCATTCCAAAAAAAGGTGACCCGACTCATATAACACACAAACAAAATCCTGCTGAAAATTATCCAGAAATGAGGAAAACAGTACACTGACAGTGCATTATCAGAAATACAAGCTGGGTTTAAAAGGAGGCCATGACACTAGAGATATTATCGCCAATGTCAGATGGACCTTGACAGAAAGCAAAGAGTACCAGAGGGATATCTGTGTTTCACTGATTATACAAAGGTATTTGAGTGGACCACAACAAATTGTGGTCAACCTTGAGGAGAATGAGAACACTTGACTGTGTTTGTTTAAAGCCTGTACTTGGACCAGGAAGCAGTCCTCAGAACAAAACAGGGAAGCACGGTGTGGGTAAAAAATCAGAAAGGGGGTGCATCAGGGATGTGTCTTGTCTCCATACTTTTCCAATCTATATGAAGGACAAATAATTCAGGAAGCAGGGCTTTATGAGGAGAAATGTGGCATAAGAATTGGAGGAAGACTCATCGACAACATACATTATATAGATGACACAACCTTGCTTGCTGAAACTGAAGCACTTGCTGCAGAATATCAAGGACTGTAGTGTTCAATATGGATTGAAGCTCAACATCAAGAAGACAAAGATTCTCACCACTGCGCCAATTGACAGCACCATGATAAATGGAGAAGAGATTGAGGTTGTTAACAATTACAACTTGCTTGGCTCCACAATTAACACTCTTAACACCAGCAGTAAGGAAATCAAAAGACAAAATGCATTGGGAAAATCTGCTGTCAGGGACCTCTCCTGAGTAATGAAAAACAACAATATCAGTCTAGAGACTAAGGTATGCCTGTTTCAGGCCATGGTCTCTGCAGTTACTTGCTATGCATCAGAGAGCTGGACAATGACTAAGGATAACAGAAGAAAAATTTATACCTTTGAATTGTGGTGCTGGGAAAGTCTTAAACTTACCATGGACTGTCAAGAAAACAGGTCTGTCTTGGAGAGCGTGAAACCAAGTCTCTTTTTGGAGGCTAGGATTTTGAAGCTGCATCTCACATACTTTGGGCACATGGCCAGGGACTAATCCTTGGAGAAGGACATCATGCTCAGAAGTTTGGAGGGACAGCACAGGAGAGGAAGAGCTGGGTGAGATGGATTGATACAGGGACTGGGGCAATAAGGATTGGTGTGTCAGAATTAGTGAGACTGGCTCAGGACAGGGCAGGCTTCAGAGCTGTTGTACATAGGGTATATATGTACTATGAGTTACAGGAGACTTGATAGCACATAACAACAACAACGGTTTAAATTTTATGTTCAAGGCTTTCCACTACTTGTGTTCATATCCAATGCCTAATACACTATATGCCACACAATAATCAGGAAATATTTAAAAATCTTTTTCAAATAGGAAGTTCTGTTTTACTTTTTTTTTCCTTTTTAGTGCATTACTAGTACTTTTTAAAGTTTTCTATTTATTTATTTTATTAATGTTTTTATTTATGAAATGTCCAGTTAATAACACTTTTCCTAAATGTTATTGTGTAAATATATCAAAGCTAAAAAAATTATGGTTAATAAGTCTTTAAATTTTTCTGTGATAGAACATTATGTCATTACAGAGCACTGAGTCACATTTTTTCTCAAATGAAAAGAAAATCCTTATTTGTATTACCACAGCAAAGTCTTAAGGTTAGGACAAGTTTCAGAGCTATTGTTTATAGGGTTGATATCAGTGGATTTAATAACAATAAAAACATTGATCTATTTTATCTTTGGCTATTTGTGCTTAGACTGACATACAGGATAATCTGTCATTAAAAACTTTCCCCCCGACCCCTCCATGAGGCCACTACACTGCACAGCGTGAACCAGTTACACACAGAGGAGCGGTTCTGCGATGTGACCATTGCAGCCAACAACCTCAAGCTTCGTGGCCACAAGGTCATCCTGGCCACCTGCTCGCCATTCCTGTGTTCTTCTCTTTCTCAGGTCCTCCACCATGCCCACAATTATGTCTTTTTACCAAAGTCTTACCCCTCCTGACAGTATGCTCAAAGTATGTGAGACGAAGTTTCACTGTCATTGCTTCTGAGAACTCTGGTTGTGTATACTCCAATGCATATTTATTTATCCTTTTGACCACTCGTGGGATATTAAGTACTCCTCTCCAACACCACAATTCAAAGCATTAATTATTCTTCACTTGCTCCTATATATTGTCTATCTTTCAGATTATCAGGTGTACCTTAGTCTTTAAACTGGCATTGTTGCCCTTTAGCATTTTAAAGAGGTCCTTGACAGCAGATCTCTGTAATGCAGCACATATTTTTATTTCTTGACTGCTGCTCCCATGAATGTTGATTGTGGATTCAAGCAAAATGTAATGGTTGACAAATTCAGTCTTTCTGTCCATCATGGTGTTGCCTATTGGTCCAGTAGTGAGGAATTTTGTTTTCTTAATGGTTAGCTGTAATCCATACTGAAAGTTGCAATCTTTGATCTTACTCAGTAAGTGCTTCAAATCATCTGCACTTTCTGCAAGCAAAGTTGATTCAACTATATGATGCAGGTTGTTGAAGAGTCTCCCTCCAATCCTGATGTTGCATTCTTCTTCTTATAATGAAGCTTCTGGATTGATTTGCTCAGCATACAGAAAAAATAGGTATAGAGCAAGAACTCTATTCTTTTTAAAAAATTTTTATTTTATTAATTTTAATGAACATTTACAGAGATTTTGGATTTCCATTCAT